AAGATTCTTCAAACAAAAATATATTATAAAGTTTCTATCGCATGTTTAAAAAATATCACTCTGGAAAAGACATAAACATGTTACAAAAAAATCAGTTTTTGAAGATTTATCAATATTAATCCTATCTATGTATTTCAATATTAGCTAAAGTATGAAAAATCTATAGTTACAGTTCATTTCCTCGACAACATAGTCTAAGATTCTTACGTTCTAACAATAACAAGAGCTAAAGAACTATATTTTGTCTTCACACCAGAGACAAATTTACAATTATGCATTTTATTACATAAAAAGTTATTATACAAATCGAGTTACTACTTTCTAACAAGAACACAGAATTAAAAGTATGATTGTAAGAATTTAGATATACATACTACTAATATACGAGAATAAATGCAGAATGGAAGAAATATGGCTTTGTTAACAACAACAGTGTTTTCCATGTATTACATAAGTCATTAGTAACTATCAATCGTATCTACGTTTCGTGCTATATAGTCTTCCAACGAGTCCTTTAAATAAAATTTTTACTAGAAAATTAAAAAAAAGGTTTTACACGAAATATTTCTAAACAGAACTAGAAAAAGAAACTTTCGGAGAAACCACGAAATTCAGAATAGTAGAAGTTTTCACATATTCCAAATATGACCATATGCGAGTTCATTTGCATAAAACTACATGAAAAGAAAAATTAATAACTGAGAACAGTTAGAACAGGTTTTTTTTATTGATGACTTGAATCTTTTCCAAATTAGTGAGAAGTGACGATCTTACAAGCCACGTAATACTGTAGTGCAACAGTGTGTCGAGTTGCTTCTTATCGTCTAATTTTATTTTACTTTTTTTTTATCATAAAGAACATTTCTTGTGTAGAATATAGGTCTGACTAGATCAACATTACAACGTTCGGAATCAAAACGTTGCATAATTAATCCAACGAAGATTAATATTTCACCTGAAGATGCCTTATTAAGAGATATAGAAGAAATTTCGATTGTCTGGCTTGATTGTAATATTCATCGAAATGAAGATTGTATTTGTACCGAACTAGAATTACGTCGTCTCTTTGGCAATGTCAAGACTTTCAATGATTTTGAAGAATGTGTGAATTATTTGACAACTCTACCAACCAAACATGATCGCGTTTTTCTCGTTGTATCCGGTGCGTTAGGAGATGCACTTCTCGAACGTGTTGAATCATTAGATGCTATCGTTTGGGTATATGTGTTCTGTAAAAATGAATCATTTCATAATGAATGGACAAAAAAAATTTGCTAAAATTAGGGGTATTTTCATGAAACAAGAATCACTTTTTTGTCAGCTCTTACCTGATATGACTAAATATTCAGCTCATTTAACACCAATGCGCATTTTTCACTCGGATGAGAAACAAAAATCTATTCACGACTTGAACACTCAAACAGCATCATTCATGTGGTTCCAGTTACTCATTCGAATTATACTCACTATGGAAAACAATCGTGATGATCGTGCTAAGAAAGATCTTATTGATGTTTGTCGAAAGCGTTACGAAGGTAATATAATCGAACAACAGCGTATAACAGAATTTGAAAACAATTATAGATCAGGTCAAGCGATATATTGGTATACTAGAGATAGCTTTCTTTATCGTTCAGTGAATAGAGCATTTCGTACAGCAGATATTGATATCATCTATCAATTTCGCTTCATTATTGCTGAAATTCATGAGCAATTAGAGACCTTATCTAATTCGTCTACTGCTAATTTANGAAACAATATCAAGTGAGTCGTTTAGATGATACTCTTACTCGAGATTGTGAAACTGAGAATGTAGGAGTTTTTATCAAGAAGATTAGACCAGTCATATGAGACTTGTACTTCGAAGATCGAAACAAATATTCTTACAACATAGATTATACTAGTTAAAATAGAGTACGACGGACATTTACGATTGTGTTTAACTTCTAGTAACTGTTTCTATCAAGAAAATAATAATTTTGATTAAAATTCTCGAAAGATGTTTTAATTCTTTGCTTTAGCATGGTACAAACGAAATTAGAGTTTCTCAAAACTGAGATAAATGGTAGGCTTGAAATGATGATTGATAAATCAGAGGTTAAAAATTTGCTACGGATCACCTTGTGCATTAGTACCTAACAAAGCAGGAGTAATCGGAAAGTTATTTATGCAGTAGAATTCTGTATTGCTAAAACAGATGGACTATTTGTGAATGAATTCGGCAAGTTTTTGTTAGTTTAAATGTTGTGAACTAGTCAATTATGCTATTGAAATTCTGCTACATGAAATCATTTTCGTATGAATTAGAAAATATGAGCACATCATTGTCACAGCATCTCTGTACAACAACGATTCCATGAAAAAGCATTTGAAAATTTTTTGTCTTCATTCGCAAGTTGAAAGTAAACATTCATTTTAGATTGCTTGGATTCAAATCTAATTACATTTGAAAATGCGTCAAACTATTCCAAGATCTCGAATGGTTATTATGGTTTGACATGGACGAATGCTTATGTACTTGATACACAAATATATCCACAATGGTCTGAAAGTGGTTTTTATTCGGCTATAAAATCTGGTACTTGGGTTGCATTCAATATGAATGGCGAACGAATGACAATTTCTATAGATACACCAAGCACATTTAGTATAAAATCATTTGTTGTCTCATCTGCATGGAATGATTATGTTACATTATCGATGGTTTCGCAACGTGCATCAACGTATTATAAAGAAGCATCATTTAAAATTGAAAAAAATCGTTCAACTACGATTGAATTAAACTGGTTCGATATTAATACAATCACATTCTATGCATCAATTAATAATAGTCGACATGGAGAAGTATTTGTTATTGATGATTTATGTTTGTAAGTGTTGTTTGTTGCGTAAGCACCAAACATTATAATAGTATTAGATGCTAGTTTTTATATCAGCAGTGCATCTAATAATTATTTGTTCGATAAATTTAACTTTTACTAGTGTTTATTAGATATTAACAACACCAATCAGTGTCATGATGAAATGCATTCTGAATAGGTTTCAGAAAGTTTCTATGAAACAAGCCTTCTTTTTGGCAGAGAATGTCTTAAGTTTTCGATTATTAGATGCTAAAATAGGTTGCATATTAATTTGTCTTATTTTGTTTTTCACTTATTCAAGAGTGATCGAATACATTATTTTCACCACTCAACAAACTTTAAGCATATTTTCTTGTTTTCCTTAAGGGACTCAACCACGCTGTCAACATCAACATCAGCCAGCATTGAAGATAAATGTTCATTGAACGAAATATTCTATCAAGGTCATTGTTACTACTTGGATGGTGTAGGAGGAGAATGTCCATATGATTATAGTCTTGGATCAGAAACGGTTTTATCTGTTATAGCTGATTCATTTATTGGTTTAAATTATAAAACAGCGATATCAAATAACTGTTGCGTTGTAACGTCTGAAAAATCCTCAAATTACGGAATTAATTCAACAGACCAATGCAACAAACAAGGACCATTTACAGTTGTGCCCAGTTACAATGGTGGTGGATGTCGAAATTATACAACTAGGCATTCAAGACAATTAACATTTTGTATGAGCAATTAATTTTATTTTGCATCTGTGTTGTAATGATTTCTCTTAGTGAGAAAGAAAAGATAAAACATTAAAATGCGTACCATAACATCTTCGACTGGAGACCCAACAAAGAATTTTGACAAAACAATGCAAGCAAGAGATAAATACTACCTATTTTAAATCAAGCTGATCGTAGATATTTTTCGAATAAAAACTGAACAAAAAGGATCCGATGTCTTTGCTGTCAAGTTCCTGACAGTAAATGAACAGATCTGATAGAAAACACGCTCTTCGAACATCGATGTGGTACATATTAGACACGAAGAAGACGGAAGTCGTAATCAATGATAGCTATTAATTATTAGACAAAGAACAAATAATCGTGCAATATGCACGTCATTTAAAGAAAATATTCATACTTACTCATTCACGAGTAATCATACATAATTTTGTGTAGCTCCAACTACATACGAATAATTGTTAACCAGCTTTAACTGTTGGAAACTGAAATGAGCTGACTTATTTTGAATAAACGTATATGTTGTTATTCCAAAGCAAATGAATAAACTATATCAAAGCGATCTCAATTACCAAGAAGTGAAGTAGTTGAGATCATCTACTTAGAAATCAGTTCTACAAGAAAGCTTGAAGTTATATTGCAGAGTGAGTGTGGGTGTACTTTGAGAGAAGACTCACACCCATACCAACACCCAAGTAAAACTAACTTCTTCTTATTAAATTATTTTTGTAAATTTAATTGGTGCACATTTGTTACAGTGAAAATATTCTTTCGAATCTTAAATTATAAACCCAGAACATATGTTCTTCAAATCGTTGATTATGTTATTTTTGTGCAAAAAACATAAGATTTTTCTTATGAATGCAGGTGGATCCCTAACGATTGCTCACATGACGATTCGTTCGATAATTCAAGCTGCATAGGGGTGTGGATGTGTGGGATAGGTGCGGGTGTAATTGCTGGGAAGAACAACACCCACACCTGCATCACTCAAGCCACAAAAGAAAAATAGAAGTCTTATATATACGAATGAAACCACCATTAATAAACAATATGAAAAAAAGTATAGATGAATACAGTCTATTTCTTTGTGTGTTAGAAGATTCCATTTTCATCTGCTTCAAAATAAGACCTAACTCAAGTACTTCTACAACAATAAATATCTTGACATTTTGATGAAACTTGATGAAAAACACGGTGTTTTCACTTCTATTTCGTAACACTTTCATATATCGACTGCTGCTAACTAAATATCCAATGTTGGCAAGAAAATAGTAAACTGAGAAACCAAAGAGTTGTTTTCGAATAATATGAGAAATATAGTGTTCCATATTGAAAACATGACTCATACGAATTCTTTGACATCTATATTTTTGAGATGAAGAGTAGTTAAATCAATACTAGATACGTTTAAGAGAGGGCATTCTCATTGCAAGGATGTAGGTGTGAGTAAAGAGAGAAATACACTCACACTCATACCCTCGAGATACTTTTCATGTAATGAAATAAATTCTAGCAAATGAATAGATATTCGTTCGACAAAATTTATGCTGTTTAAAGAAAGTAAAAGATAAGTATTATGAATAATTTTTATATATTTAATTGATAGAGTTCAAATGACTAATCCTTAAAAGATGAATAAATTGGACACGACAATGTTCAAAAAATATTTATTTTCAATATTTTCATCTTCTAATCCTTTTTTTTTTATTCTTCATATATAAAATCATATTGATCTTTTAATGAAAATTTCTTCAAACATTATTTTTAATTTTTCAAGTGTTGTTAGATGTAAATAAAATTGTGCAAGACAAATCAAAAAAGAAAATAATTATCAATATTACTTTTTTTGTGATAATTATTAAAAGAATAATTTGCAAGACTATCGTTTAATTTAGATTTATAGAAATGTTGTGTTTCTTCAAGACAATCTCTATATATCGTAGGTGATGATGATATCGTTTGATTATTTCTATCGTTGATATTATCATTGATCGAACTAAGCACTTAATACTAGAATAATGAAATAATAAAATTAAAAACAAAAATAATCATGTATCAATATATATATATGTACGATAGTTTTGAATAAATTGGCGAACTAAAGAACAATTAATTACTTGTTCATCATGTTATATCTAGCCATATTTTTATTGCCATCTTAATAATATTTGTTTTATATCAGTTACAAAAAGAAAATATATAATTTATACACATATAGTATAAACATCATAAATACATTTCGTACTATGTCCATGTTGACTTAACAATTAATAATTTTATCAAGTTTTTGAAGAAAATTGAAGAATATCTTCATCAGTTAAATCTTTTCCATTCTAGAATAATAATAAAAAACAAAACCCAAGTAGGTCCTATGAATTCTTATAACAATCGGAATTTACTAATTTACCAATGAAAATCAAATGGTTAACATTGAATTAAATTAAAGTTTTTCTTTAAATATGATCATCATAGTTAGAGTAGCGTCCAGTTCATTGGAATGTTTAGGGATCTTAAGTTTCACTTGTAATAAAGTTGCATTATGTTCAAGACTCATCGAATATTTGAAAACCGCATTGAAATATACATTAAAAACAAAACAAAATTGAATACTATTGATTTTAAGATAAAAATAGATCTAGAAAGATTCGTATAAGCCATTTCTATCACGAATTGATCTTAAAACAATACTGACAAAATATGCTCTGATCTGCTCAGATTACTGTTTTCCTTGGAATTTAAACCAGCCAATAGAACTTGAAAAAACCGATTCAGCTAGACTTCATTATGAATCATTCCGAGAAAAATTTTATCACGATGCAACATGAAAAACTTCTATGATGGAATATGGTGATCTAAGATTTTTGGAAACTAAATGCAAGACTAAATATGTGGCATACAAACATATCATTAAAAAATGTTGTCTTGACAAAAAAACTTACATGTACTTAATTCTATTTACTGTAACTTTTGCTGTCTTTTTTTTTACCACATAGTCATTATCTAATTCTAAATTTAGAAATAACGAATATCATCGATGCATTCAAGAATATTCTGTCGTAGAAAAAGTTTTCATTGATTAATATATTCTTAGATATACGATGGTTCGTTCAGAATTTTTCAATAGTTAAAAACATATTTGTGAGATACGAACTGATACGAATAGAAAGAAAAATCTCGGATGAATGGATATGAATATATTGTGAAAAACAAATAGAATAATAAACCCTACATCAAAGTGTCGAAAATCATTTCCTAATATAAAAGAAACATATTCAGTAGTCATTCGAGCTAGTAGTTTTTATTAATGTCTGTCATAAAGCAATAAATAATCAAATAATTAATAGTATTATTCTGCATTGGTTAAAAATATAGGAACCTACTATTGTTATTTCAAGTTAACATGCAATTATAAACATAATTTTTTAAAAATTCGATTGAATGTAAAAGTTCGTTTTGAATGAGAAGATCAAATTGATGGGATGTTGTTGAATTATAAGGTAATATTGAAGACTATTTCAGACAAGGCTGATTTGTTGCAACGATTGTCTAATTATTTCATAATATTTCTATTTTTAAATAGTTGTTTGAGTTTGAGTTTACTATTCAATTGTTTACAATCACTGGAATACTTTTTTTACCAAAGCCATCTGAATTTTTCCTTCGTCCTTTTCTCTTTTAATGTGAGTGTGGGCATAGATCTTGATTACACCTTTGTATTACTATGCCGTCAACTTTCTATGTAGCGACATATTCTTTAGGAGGAATGAGAGTCGAAAATATCTTTCAAAAGATATTTTAGACTAAAGTTGATGCTTTTATTTGTAGACGAACGAAATTACATTTATGCTATGAAAAAATGGTAACACTGTGCTTCTCACCTTCTCTTCATCATATTAGCATCAATGGTTAGCTTTCAAGTTTATCTCAATGACAAAAAAAATGAAAAACAGTATTTGTATCGGAAAATCTAAATTGACAAAGAACAAACAAATAACTATGACAACTTAGTCATATGATTCTAACGTTATCTAATTGAAGTTCTCAAATAATGATGTGCTATGATTGAGTCATAATAAGTTTACATGTATGACTCATGCCATTTTGTTGTCATCGATCAACAAATCAATGATAAAGCACAAAAAAATCGTTGGATTGATTTCAATTCACGAGAAAAAAATTCATACGAAACTATGTCAAAATCTATCTGTACTTTCATCTAAATTAAATACGTTTACAAAGAATGTATGCGATTGGTTACAGATTCGACGAACGAAATAAAATCATCATTCCAACAAAATAAAATATGTACTATTTATATAGATATATTTTATTTTATCATGTGATACTTATTGCATAACTTGTTAAACTCAAAGAATATTTATTATCTGTCTGCTATGTATGCTATACATGAATTAAGAATATAGTATAATGGTGAAGAGTTGAATTTTCTTTCAGATAGTTAACATTCAAACAATACTAATGATTCATTTTCTTTGATGAATACCGAAAAGATGAATTTCGAATCATTAGCCAATGAATTATTGCTTTATATGTTCGAATTTCTTTCTACTCATCATCTTATCGATGCATTTCATGGTCTTAATTCACGATTCAATTGTCTTCTTTTTCATCATTTTACTGTTACAGGTATCGATTTTCGATCATTACATGCCGATAAATTTGTTACAATCTGTCAAGAATATGTCCCAAGTTTGATCACTCAACTACCTCCAATGCAGATATCAAAGCAAAAGTGTTTTCAATCACTGAATCAATTCAATACTCATAATTTTGCACTTACTCAATTTATTCAATTGAGATCATTTCCATTAAGCAATCCTTTACAAAAACCGATTCCGAAAAAAATCATCTTAGGATTGTTTCACTTAATTAATCTTACAGATTTGAACTTCAGTCAGCATTCTTTGGTAGCAGATGACTGTAAGCATATGTCAACTGACTATTCTTTAATAAATTATGTATGGAGTCTACCAAATCTCATTTATTGTCATTTGGACGCTACTAGTTGGCATCATTTGGGTTATGGTAACTTCGTAGTGCCTACGGTGATGTCGTCAAGTATCACAAATCTGTCTATATTGCATCTAGATACATACTCTTTTGATCTCAATCAACTATACGTGAATACACCAAATCTTCAACAGTTTTCGATATCATTTTCTGACAGTTTTCCTCAGCAAATTCTAACATCACCTGTTCTATCAATCACATCTTTAGAGCTGTCGCTAAGTGAACATCAATATGATCTACTTAATATGTTACAATGGATGCCTAATTTATGTCGATTGAAAATGAATTGTTCTTTTTACATCAGTGGATATAAATTGGAAAATATTATTTCTAATCATTTGCACAAATTAAGAAAATTCGATTTTAAACTATCAGTATGCTTTGAAGATGATAATATGACCGAAGAAGTGGATGAATTACTTAGTGCATTTAAAACAACATTTTGGATTGATCAGCATCGTTGGTTTGTGCAATGTCAATGGTATCCAGCCACGTCAAACTATGACCTTTTTACTTTATCATATGCTTTTAATGATGTTTGTATAAAGTATCCATTACTCTTGAAATCTACTTATCCTCAAAATGACTACCATCACATATATGACGCTGTACGTTGTTTAAGATATGATAATGAGACTAGAAAATGCTCTCAACAATATGATATTCGATTCTACAAACTAGAAAAATTGGAAGTACAACTTCCTGTTGATGAACATTTCTGGTCAATTGTTCCAACATTCGATCGTTTAATTTCATGCGACATAATATCACATGAGAATAGCAAAGAGTGTCAAGATCAGTTACGAGTTCTTCTGTCTCGTGCATTCAATCTGTTGTTTCTAAATCTTCCACGTTTAAAAACAAATGATTCTCTAGTAGGCGTATCATCGCAAATCGACGATAGATTGAAAAAACAGCTCGATCTGAAAGAACTTGTGGGTTCATTTGACGAGAAACAATGTCTGACTTTCTGTCATTTACCTCTAGCTGCACAGTGTGAAGAACTTCACATTTGTGTAAAAAATCGCATATCAATATGTGATCTTGTTAGAACAATGCTTCATTTGCGGTTATTATTTGTGAAATGTGACGATGATAAACGACAAAAGCGATCTGTAATCAAACAAGATAAAGAACAAGAAAAATCAGAGGAAGATGAACTTGTCAACTGGTTAAGACAGCAATTGTCAAATGTGCAGCGATTGGTTCGAATATCTCGTTGGGGTTCTATTATTGTATTGAGATTTTTTTAAGATGAACATAATAATAACGATAGAAGACTAATGGACTTCTTTTGTCTTTATTGTATAATATGATAAACAGAATAGAGCGAATCAGATAAATCTTTATTCAAAGATATTTTGAAAAATTAGGGTATGAGCGTGGGTGGATATTGGAGTGAGTTTGGATTGAGTATCCACTGAACATCAACTCAACCACAACCCCACCCGCACACCCTGCTAGATAGTTTTGTGAATCAATATCAACTTGTGCAATGAAACCAATGTGAGTTTTAAAGACAACTTCTAGGATTTGATAACAATTATTACTGTTTTCTGAGCATGAATATCTTGTGAACATCAACTTGAATACATAACAAAAATATGGATTTGAATACTATGTAGAAGAAAAAAAATTTGTAGACCTAAATGGGTAACGTACTTTTTTTATTTTGTCTATAGTTTCGATTACATCACTAGAAAAGAATAACCATACAACTAAAACAGACAATGCTAAAATTGTTTTGTAAAATGCGAAGTGTTGATTCAATTGATCTCATATGGATAAGAGATTTTGGATGATTAAAGCTTGTAAGAGCATTTTCGGTCAAAGTCAAAAATGCTTCGGGACCAGATACGTAGATATGTGTATATGGTTTTATCCTGCCTTCAAGATGGCTCTTTGAAATTACTTTTTGTTCAGTCAAAATTTTGTATTGACCTTGTGGAAGCATTTTCTTTAACGTGTCGACAAATGCAGCATGACCTTCAGTTTGGACACATTGAATTAATGTTACTGCACTCATTTTTCCTTGTTGGTTCAATTCGTGGAGAAATGCCATGAAAGAACCAATGCCAATACCATCACTGATAAATACATGACTTTTTGCGTCAGTTGCGAGTGCAAAACTACCGACAGGTGCTGAAACTAAAATTGTACTTCCGACTTGGCGATTGTTAATAATTTCATCTGGAACAATACTGTTTTGATCAAGATCAGTTACTTTCTTGAATACCACAGAATAAGTGCTACCATTAAATGATTCAAGTAGAGAGTAGTGACCATGATGAAGAACACCATCTTTTTTTCAACACATAATGTAATATATTGTCCAGGATGATAAGGAATGAATTTTCCACCATTTTGACGTTGCATTGATAAAGTATAAATCGGCCCACTGGCGATTCCTCTTTCTTAACAATTGTAAATTGTATAAAACTCTTATCACATTCATCAGTGCCAAGTTTGTCGTATAATTCCTTCTCTTTCCTGATAAAAGTTTCGGCAATAAGATCATAGAGAGCTTACCATGTAGCCATTACTTCAGGTGTTGCTTTGTCATCCATATATTCTTTGATTGCTTGTAATAAATACTTGCCGACAATTGAATAATGTTCTGGTTTAACTGTAATAGAACGATGTTTGCTAGAGATACGTGACATTTGTGGTATCATCACATCTATATTGTCAATATTTTCAGCAAAAAAATAGACAGTCATGGCCAAGGCTGCACGTTGCTTTCCAGTTTTTTGATTTGTCTGATTGAAAAAGTTGCGCATTTCTGGATGTTCTTTGAACATTGTGTTATAGAATTTTGTTGTAATTTCTTTGCCATGGTCCTTCATGATATGCGCATGTTGTTTGAGTAGTTGTTTTCGTTCTGCAGTAGTAACCATTTTAGTTCTAAAATAGAAAGAGTTTGTTTGCTTCTTTGACTAAACGCCACGGCTTGAAAATCTATCTTGGTTCATTTATAAAAGGTGGTTAAGTTTCATAAGAACTTCTCTTGTTCCATATGGGAATTCATATGAATGAGAGATCATCAAAGATATTCCGAACGAAATCTTACCTAGAATAGGATTTGCCAGTAAGTTGATAATACGAGATGCACACTAAAACAGAACAAAAATATGAAATTTCAAAATGTTTTTAAAAAGTGGGTGTGATGTAAAGTAAAAGTAAACAGTTTTATCTAAAGAAACAATCGGTGAAACACAGTAAATGGAGCCAATAACAAAATCTGTAACAAACTAGTTAATTGATCTTTAATGGATTTGACGAAAGTAAATTTATCTATATATTAATCAATTTTTTTCATGATCAACTACATATATACATGAGCTGCAAATCTGACAACTTCAATATATTCCTATCTGGGCCAACTTCTGCATAGAAATGTATATTTCATCACGACTTAGAATACCTATGTTACCATTATATAAATATATATGGGACAAGAGAGTATAAAATATAGGGATGATTTAAGTCATTTTTTTTATGAACTTTGTGAGTAAGAACTGTGGGTTTTAAACTGCCTCAGACTAAGGCTAAGAAAGAGGATGAGAGAAAGCAAATAACGACTACTTTCATTTAACATGGAGTCTCCTATAACATGCATATATATGCTCTAGAAGTATGAATAGATACATCCCAGCAAATATGTGGGATCAAAAATAAGCTTAGACTCTTGTAATACTCATTGATACTCGAACTCAAATTAGATATTTACTTGTAATAGTTAGAGGGATAAAATAAATAGAGGCTTGTTCTATTCTTGGTTAACTGAATAAAAATATGGGAAATGTAGCTGGTACAGAGTGGTCTATAAATAACTAGATGATAAAAAATTTACATATCATTAATTCGATTTAGTCAAATAGACTGATAGTTTGATTAGTGGTAAGGTTTTACTCGGATTTTTCATGTGAACAATGTGAATAAATTCTATGTTCAAAGATTGTTGGTTGATTTCATAACAGTTTTGCCTGTGTCAGTAAGAGGAATAAATATGAAGCAAAGCTTCAATTCAGATAGAGTTGAACGAAAAATATCATCACATAAAACAACATGCTAATTATGATTACATCTGTTTACGAGTTAAACTTGTAAAAGAAAATTTGAAATTTTTCCATAAATAATAACATATAGCATCCTTTGAATTATTTTGTTGAAGATATATTTTAACGGAAAAAACATCAGCTGCTTTCTCAAGAGCCTAAAACTCAAATTTCATCGAACAAGAAAGTTGTCCCATCCTATTCAGAAACCTGATGTGAAGTATTCAGCAAATATTGTTTATTAATCAGCTGAGAAAATGAGAAGAAGAAATCAAAACGAAGTTAATTAATGATATCACATTGGTCTTCATAGGAATAATTTTATAAGTCAGTTAGTTTAAGTTCTGGAATTCGTGTTCGACAACTGAAGCACAAAATTCAAATAATTCAAGTATCGAACTCGAATGATTTTCGTTTCTCTGAAGTCCAATATAATATCATTCATAAAAGCTGTTTTGATTTCTTTCTGCAATTTTCTTGATTGATCAACGAAAAAATATTTAAAGAATACTTCACATGTATTTTACTTACTGATGACCAACAAAATATCTATTATGAAATCAACCACAATATTGAAATATATAATTTACTTACATTATTCATATGCATAAAAAACATAGCGTAGAGTCCTACCATGAACCAAAATATCAGCCCATTTAATTGAATCAAAATAATGATATATATATATTTCTTATTGTCTAGTTATGTATATAGACCACTTGGAACACCATATTATGAATATACTGAGAAAAATTATCCATTATATATACCGCAACTGAAAATGTCACCTATGATTATTGGTTTTTAGAGCAAAACCGACGTTATGGCAAGGGCCAAAAAATCGAGATAATCTATAAACGAGATTTCTAGGTTAATAAAACATCGCTACCAAAATGTGTTATTTTCCCTTGATTTGTTAAAAACAATAATTGATAGTTCCTAATTTGCTTTGCAACAATAAATTATAAACAAACCTTGGGGAGCGAGGAAAATTATCTTTTTTGGTTTTGCCAGTTTCATTGATATCTTTTGAAGAGAGAAAAATAAATATAAAAAGTTGACGTATATCTCTACCAGGTATGGTGACCTCTTTAGTTATTATCGCAGTAAATGTGCGAATGCAATCAAACTTATTATTTTACTGCCAGAAAAGGACAAATAGGAATTACTGTAGATAAGAACAAATAATCGAAAGTCAATCGCAACGGAACACAAAAAGATAGAAAATCATATAAGTAAAGCAGAAAGTGTAACGACATTGTTATATCCGTTCTTTCTCGTAAATTTCTTGCCTATTATTCTTATTTTCTTCTTCTGTTCTATTTACAGTTTGATCTACTTTTCTCTCCCCTACCCTCAAAACATAATAAAACACAATTCCACCATGCTAATGCTTCTTCTACTGAAAAATCGTCGCAATAAGTAAGGAAAAAGCAAAAAGAACAATGGACAGATCAAATGTATACAAACTAGAGCAAACATTGTGGCCTGAATGTATAGATGAGACTGCATTTTTTTCTATAATGATGAATATTCCCGTACACTGTAAAATGTAAAACTAATTAAGTTAAAACAGCTCACATGATTTAAGAAGTTCTTCAATAAGGATAAAATAATCTTTAATACTATGAGATTTTTTCTTTGTGCCATTGGAAAAATATCAATTATTTCGGAAAAATAAACGATGATAAAATGAAACAATACGTGTAAGACTTATTAAAACAGTAAATAGATCACTTGCACGATTCAAGAACATTTTCTTCGTATGTGTGTAATATTGTATAAACAAATGCTCCAATATAGAAAACGCTTGCTTTTTTTTAAATAAATGCATTAATATACAAATAGATTTTATTGCCAGAATTAGCTCCATAAAATGGGTCAGAACAAATATTGATTCGACGAATCAGCTATTCATGGAAAAATAGAAAAAAAAACAACGAATTTATATGTAATACTAAAATTACACCAACGTTTTTGAAAGAATTGTTCAAGCTAAGAAATATTTTAACAATCTTTTGGCTGAGGAAAAATATGCTCTCTAGGACTGCATGCTCGGATTCTAAACTTTAACAGACATCACTACAATATAAAGACTTATTTCTGGTTGAACGCCATCTTCAAATAGGTTTTTTATTTTTATTTTCTCAAATATTTATTAATGCCCAACATACACAAGAAAACAGAAGAATATTAAAGAACAACAAGGTGCTCTGAGAACTCACAGAAATTATCATAAGCATTGTGATCAATGGTTTATCACTTTTCATGAGTGTAATAGATTATGAGGCGATTATTTGAAAACTAACAATCATAATACATGAGCACGGATCGTCGATTACATTATGACTAATTGTGATTTTTCGATATTTATTTCAATTTCAGTGTATGGACGGATTGAGTTGTATTTCTACAACGCCTTCTTCAGAACATCAAGTTTTTTATTTGTTGTTTTTCTTTGTTCAAAGTCAGAGAAAAGTCGTTTCCTTGCTTTTTTTTTATAGAAATTATTGAATTATAAGCAGATCAAATGAAGTTTTTGAGCACACCATTTGGATAAGTGACACCGAGTCTATTATATGCTGCTATGAAGCAGGGTCTAATCGAGATTGAATCAACTAAAACATGAGCGATAAATGTGGATATGGTCCTTGTCTTTAGTGGCGTCCAAATTCACACCCATCTATGAATTGATTCATTATTCGTTTCCTTCTCTTTCGTGTATTTGAAAACAAATATTTTTTTGATATATTTCAACAATTTGTTGATTAGACTTTTTTTACAATATGAAAACAACTTCTCGCTACGTAAGGTGCTTGACATTTTGAAAACAGAAAAATAACTATGACCGGCGTCAATATATAATACAATTCGATTTTTTTTTCGAAACATCGTGAGAACAATTTGAGTGTGAGTGTAGGTGTGATTATCAACACCACAAGTGGATCCACATCCACACTATCGTATATGCGATTATCACTTAGCAGAACTGCAGATGATAGAGAGCATAAACATGAAATGTAAAAGAGACGAGGAGGTGTGAGAAGGCTGAAGGAATACGCATGGTTTAAGAAGCATATTTTCGATGTTCTCTACTTGATAAATGTTCTGTCTTTTCTTCTTATTTTCCACTGTTTTCATTTTTCTGGATTCTTGATGATGTACATGCTATTCTCTATTTGATTGTAATACTGGAGCGATTTCTCGCAGAAGTATTTTGTGTGTTCAACGACGTATATCGTGGTTGCTATTGTCGCTATATTGGATAATCTTGTAGAGAATGACATGCATGGCGCGTCCTTCGCATTCCATTAACCATCAGGAGGAGCGGAAGATAAAGAGGACATAGCAAACAGCATCTAAACGATACAATTAGATTTAACATTAAGAGTCTAATTGTCAGTCCAATGTGCGTCCAATTATTGGTGTTGAATTTGTTCTGTTGCTTGAACATATCTTTTATTTTTGCATGGTAGTTGTTCACGCGTATGTTGCATTTTTGTTCCTCAGAGTGATATTAACGAATAAACTTCGCTTGGGACGCCTATTAGATAGAAAATGATAGTACCGAATATATGTAGCATGATGTTTTATGATAATAGATGAGTGTGGCTGTAGAGTGTGATTGTAGTATCTCTTGAAGAAAGGACGAACACTCACACTCATCCACACCCTCGATGTTTTCTTGCTGACATTCGCTCCGAGTTTTAGATTGAATCTCTAACTGGTTTGGCCACATAGAGAGTTCAATTCTGTACAAAATGATGGTATACTCCAAGGTTCATTGAAATAAAAAAACTGAGTTGCTGCTGTGTTCCCGCTATCACGACAGATAGTTTAAGATGTTGAGGGTGATTCTCCATTTCTCCATCCCACAATTTTATTGCATAGTTGTTAACCTCACCCTTCCTCGATAAGATGCACAGGTCGGAATAACCAGCATAGGTAGTTTATTTTAAAAAAGAAAATAAGCCTTAAAATAATTGAATCAGTTACATTTTTTGCCGAGATATTCTCGAAACGTCAATTGGCATACTTCCGTGTCCATTGACGTGCAATTTTATTATATTTATCACGATCGAATCGATAAAGACGTGCAGCTTCAAGATCAGCCGGATCATCGGTATTCGGATCGTCGAACAGCGAACAAATTGATAATAATAACTTTGAGATGGTGAGAGTGCATTGATTCCCATGGATTTCCATGCATATATTACCATTTGGAAACACATTTGGATGAAATATTTTCGTGGTAAATTTAATATTTGGGCATTTAATTGGATAGTCCGCTGGAAAGTTTATATCGAGAATGAAAACGCCTCCTTGATAAGGAGTATCAGGAGGACCCGATATTGTAGCTTGCCAATGAAACATATCGTCAGGATAATATGGTCTTGCATCAACATACTCTGGTGTATCTTCTTTTATATCTTTCAGTTCTTTCATAATGCGTGCTAAAGCCATTGATGCTCTTCCTAAATGAGATTCAAAAAGCAATATTTGCTAAAAAATTCATTGTTATTCGCTTAGTAAAAATTGACTTTTACTTAGTCCTTTCGTGCAAAATTGGACGTCGATTCACAGCTTCTCACGTAAGAAATTAGATAAATTTAACCATTTTAAAAAAGTCTAATACCACTTTTTTTTTACTATGAAAATGCATTAAAAGAGGCCTTTTATCGAAGTCTTACACATTCTATTTCTCGCTAAAATGAAATCAACCTAAAATAACTTGTCAGACTTCGTTAAAAAGCAAATTTGCAACGCGTTTTCATAGTCAAACAAGTAGCATTAGATTTTGTAAAATCGTTTAATGTATACCAATTTTTACATGAGCTGCAGTATCTTCATTTATATTCTCTAGAGATGATGAAATTGTGGATCAATTTTCTATTTGCTGTGTAACTACTAGTGTAGAAATAGAGAATAACAGTCAAGTTCGCTCAGCTTACTTTCTATTTGTTGGTGATGAAGATCTGCTGAAAGATGGATCAGAATAAAGGGTGGGTGTGGGTGTGGGTGGGTGTGGGTCTGGGTGGGTGTGGGTGTGGGTGGGTGTGGGTATGGGGTGGGTGTATGTACGAATGAAGGGAAAAGTAACACCCACACCCACACCCACACCCTGTTTTTTGAAAGCTCATATTTAAAGCATATGAAGTATATCACTAATAAAGATTATTTATGAAGTCAAATTCTTCTGAACTACTGTAATCATCGAACTAAACTATAATCAAGGAACTGATTTACCGACATATTTCATTTCTATTTGTTCTCACACAAAATATGTTTGTACTATTATCAAATTCTGCGTGTAGTGTAGCGTCATCATTTGTGTGGGACTGAACTTTCACGAAAACAAAATATATAGGTAAATATATCTTTTGTTTCTATACGTTTTTATCGAATTTTTTTTTCTGATCTTCTATTCGAAGTAAGTGCATAAGTGGATACAAATTTCGACAATGATTTGATGATTCATGCATATGTGTCAATAGACTACAACATCGTCTTTCACAATACATCACATCATCTTCATCGTCGTCGTTCCCATCATCAAATTTATTTCAGTGATTGATTTTTTTATGATGGCAGTTGATATGAAAATTATGATTTTTTATCTCGGTGATAAAAATCTAAAATATAAATTTCCTTCAAACTCGGACGCTAGTTTAATCGATGAAACACTTCGTGAATATTTCGATCTTTCGAAGGACAGCGAATATCATCTGTTTGATATACAAGATTCTTCACTTATAAACATATCATCACTCCATTGTCTCAATAATGAATCAAAGATTTTGATCAAAATGAAAAACATTGCGAATGCATTAAATAGTACATATTATAATAATGAGTGAGTATATTCCTTTTTTTAATATGGATTGATGTAATCTCTCATTGTTTCAGACAATCATTTTCAAATCTTTAATCAATTACTTTATCAACTAATCAAGGTAAAAATTCGTCCATTTTTGTCGTTGATGTATGTGTCTCAATCTCCTTTTAGAAACGCTCTCATTTAGTGAAAACTCAGAAAAAGCTCCAGCCGATTTATCTTCAGCTAGCTCCACCAGTGAAAGTGATAATAATAGAACCGCCGTTCATTATGTGAGTAAAACTGATGGCAGTGATGTTACCAAATTATCAAAACTACAACAGAGGAAAAAAGATCAAAAGCTAAAAATTCTGCAAAACACGAAGATTTATTATTTTCTTGAAAAAAATGCAGAAATAAGCGCTGGTAAATCGTTCATTCTATATAATATAAGATATCTATCGTTGAAAAATTTTAGTTACAGCTGTTCCAATTTCACAAGAGTTAAAGAAGATATTGAACATCCAGTCGCACCAGTTGTATGATTTTTTAAAGTTTGTTCGTCACAAAACAGACTTATCGTCATTAAAACTGAACGATGAAAACGTAATAGACACATTCACGCATGTTTTTAAAAACGTTTATATTAACAAGATTTGATGATCATTTTTTTTCTATTAATAAAAAATCCTTTCATTTGTGCTCTTGTTTCCGCTAGTACTTTTCTTTATATATTAAAATAAACTTTATTTCCATTGATATAAACAATGATAAAAGGTATTTATTTGAAATATCCTGATGAACAACATAGAAAACCTTATTAACGATCATGCTTAATATTTGAGTATCTATAGAAAAATCATTATTTTATACGAAATTATCTTTATATTTAGTTTATTAATTCAATTCAAAATCATATTTAGTTAAACAAATATAAATATTTATAGAAGAATTATTACTCAACACGAAATTATTCTTCTACTTAATTTATTTATCTAATTCAAAATTATATTTAGTTAGATAATTATTTATTTCATAGATGAATAATTAGTTCAATGATAGAATTAAATTTGATAAATGTTCTTATCTTTATTTTTTCGAGGATGTCAAATGATATGTTGATGAAATAAAATTATTAATTCCCAAAAGTTCTATTGGAAATAACAGCTTGATTTATTTTCTTAACAATCCTTCGAATATTTTTCTCACATCTTGATTCTATTTGTGTAATTCAGAATATAATGTAGAAATTCTCTTTTATCAGAATATGTGACTCAAAATTAATTATCACGAAAATAAAAATAAAAAAATCCTTTTCTCTTGAATATTAAACGGAAGTATACTACAAATGGGGTGTGACACCACTCCTCCTACTTTCAAAATCTTACTGTGGAGTATCTCTCCAGCTTTTGAAAGTCTTTTAAGATGTACATGAAAGAAAGACTCTAATCCATCACGCCCTCTTCCCTTGCCTTGAATATCTCGATACGCGTGGGATATTCATTAATTATTTAAGGGTGTGGGTGGGTGTGGGGGTGGGTGTGTGGGTGTGGGGTGTGGGTGTGGGTGTGGGTGTGGGGGGGTGTGCGGGTGGGTAGGGATGGCTTCTTCTAAACACACACCCACAACCACACCACACACACACACCCACACTAACGCC